AGTAATAAAATATGGAATTTATTTAAAATTTAATATAAATGACATATAATGTACTAAAAATTAAAAGGTTACATGAATTTAATATATATTAAGATTTTGTTCTCAGAAAATATAGTATAATTGTATTTTGATTCTGCAAAATAAAAATATTATTTTGTAATAATATTTAGATTAGAAAACTAATAAATAACAAATTACATTTTATAATATTGTAGTACCGTATAATAATACTGTAAACTATTCATGTTAATCAAGTAGATTTTGGATCTGAAAATATCAAATAAGTAATTGTTATCGCTTAATGCAAATGTATGAATCACATACCAAATTGAGATTAGCAAATGTTTAATTATAAATTCAACTAAATATACCAATATACCAAAATCTCATATGTTTTAAAATGATCAATAAAATAAAATTATGATTTTAAAATAAACAAATAATTGGTGTAAATTAAATTTTGTCGTACACTTAATGAAACGAATCTTGAATCTATAAATTGAATATTATATGTAATAAAGTAATAATTATGATTCAAATGGTTTTATACCAAACTCAGTATTAGGAAATGGTTGGCCATAAATCCCAATAAATATGTCATAAACTGGTAGTTATTCATCGCAAACATATCATAGCAATAGAAACCAATATCACGAGCGGACAGCCTCTCAATGAATGCCATTAGTTTCCATCTCTGGTGAGAGGAAAGGGATGTCTGTTTGAGACCAGCAATTAGTATGGGACGGGCCTTATTGGCTGATGTGGTAACCCATGTGCACACATAGGTTATGAGAAATACAATGGTATACAATGCGGTAAATGCTATACCGGCCACATATCTTGCGTATTGATTAGTGTCCGGAGCAAATGTTATATATAATAGTAGCTCAAAGCACGGGGTCATAATGTAGTAGACATCAAGCAAAACAAATTTATAAAACTCATTGATTTTGACCACAAGTTTAGTGATAGTATTGTGTTCAGCCATCGCTTCCTTAAGTAATGAATGTTTTCCGTGTTTTAAACTGAAATGAATTTTATCATTGATTTCAATAAACTTATACTTAATGTAAGTACAAGTCATTATAAACAGGATTAGTCCAAAACAGGCCAATGAATGGGTTTCAATAAACATAATTGTATCCAGAATAGTCCAGATAATAATACCCGGAATAGTGAACCCGGAATTTGGCTCAAAATAAGCCACTATCGAGGCCATGAGAAACGCCCCCTCCGTGGGCACAATCAACACCCAAAACATTTGATTCATGAAGTATTTGGTCAACAAATTTGATTTGAGGACAAACTTTCTGTAGTGCGTGGCGTTCAATGGAAGTGACATTTGTTTGCGTTTAATATCATTGAAAAAGTTCATGAAATATAGTTTCCGTTTATATTCATACCATTGGATTACAGTTCCGATGAACGCTATGATAAACGCCGCGTTTGACATCATCATTGAGATTAACACCGGATTTCCCAACACATAACTACCATCGCATACCAGTGCCCTCATGTGCTGGGTGTTGACCAGGGCTGAGATGGCGTACCTGAGGCTCACCACAAATAAGACACACCGCCCGATGAATAGCCGTATTTGTCGTTTGACTGGAAACACACCACTCATGTAGTCATCGATACTCGCCGTCAGTACCATATGTTTGACGGCAAATGTCTCGAGTCGTGTGACCGGAGTTTCATCGGTGTTATGGTGTATGAAAGCGTTGTATTTGTTTTTAGCCAATGATATCACTTTTCTTGTTACAGATATTTTCATTTTGTTTGATTTCATTTTGTGGGACACTTTTTAAAATGAGTTTCAATTCTTAGTTGAAAATTAATTAAAAATACACAAACAATTATCATTAAAATCTGTTTAATTCATATGCTTTTCAAATATTTACTTGCAGTTTAGAAATTGCTGAAGTTTTTTTAATACAAACTTTTAAGGCAAACTTTTGAAAGCGGTTTATCTAGCTGCTTATTTAATACTCATCCCACGGGATTAATTACGGTTAAATAATAAGACATATATAAATCAATGTATGAATTTTCACTGATACTACGAATAAATATTGAAAATTTAAACTTTAAATATTGTATGAATTAATGCACTCATGCCTTAAGAATAGCCAGTGGAAATGTGTTGCAACTAATCTAAATGTACATTATGGATATTAAAATAGATTTGGACATGTATATGTATAATTTATTGACATAGTTACATAATTAATGATTTTATTTATTTTCTAAAAATCTATAAATTAACAGTTTGTTTCATTTGATATAAAAATCGATGCATTCAAGGCTCGAGAATATCTATTTTAATATGCATAATGTACTTATAAATCCGTGCAATTAAATAAGTATTTATAAGTATTTATTTATAAGTATTTATAAGTTTTGTATTTAGTCAAAATTATTATAGTGTCAATCAAATGCAATTTCTAGAAATCTTCATAAACTAAAAAGTGGGCTACCTTATAATTAAGTTTTCAAAATGTCTCAGAAGTTATTTAGCATGATTCAAATGGTAAACATATTTAATACGATTCGTATGACAAATAAAGGCATTTATGTTGAAATTGAAAAGTTTGAGTTATTTATGAAAAACAAAATCTCGTCATTATTTGCAAATAGCGATGAATACGTGAAACGTAAACCAATTTCCAAAATAAGGTTATTTGCGGCGATCATATCAAGAATTGCCATGTTCATAAACTTAATTCGTTCCATCATAATAGCACTGGTGAACAACCAAACTGCACTGGATATAATGTTTGACGTGACTATATATGGTGGTAATAGATTCCTTATTGCTAGCGCATTGTGTGTCGGCATATTGTCCTTGCTAATTATGTACACCGTTCAAATGTATCAAGAGTACACCAATTCATTTCATTGTCTACATTTATTATATAATTTAAAACATAATAAATTTGAATATAGTTTAAATAGACGTAACAGGATGAAATTGATCAAAATACAATTTATAATTAACAAGTATATTTTAAAACATGCATTTTATGCAACAAGCATTTTATTATTCAGTGTAAATACCATTTATACGTTTATAATATTTTTGAAATCTCCTAACATTGTTACATTTTTGGCCATGATCATCTATTGTTTATCGGGCTTAATTATAGTGGTTCAGGACTACGCCATGTTATTGTATCATATGGTTGTATGGTTATTGTTAACAAAATATATTTATTACAAATTCACTGAGATCAATTACAAAATATTATGGGCCGTGAAATTCAATGACAAACGCCTACTAATGAATGCAATCGTTGAACACAATTATTACGAAATACAGACCCGGGATGTGAACCATTTTTACAAATGGTTTATACTTGTTGCCTATTATTTGTTGGCATTTTTTGTTGAATTGTGTGTTTACGCGGTACATAAACCGGACACAACCCTCACGGCTAGAGTTGCACTTATAATAATAGGCGGCATAAACATTGGGGTGCTTTATATAATATACAATATGTTAGTTTGCATACCTAAAGCCGCCCATAAAACATATCCATTATTAATCACCTATTTATTACATACACGAGATTTGTCATTAAGAGCTAGATTCAAAATTATGGCACTTATTGAGAGGTTATCCATTGGCCCACAAATTGGTTATTATTGCTATGATATGTTTCCCATAAATAGTTATGAAATATACCAATTTATATACATTGTTGTCTCTAATTATCTACTTATTTTAGACATGTTTTAAAATTTCAAACCGCAATCCTGTTGTTTATTTTCTAGGCTTACCAATAAATATGATAAGTATTCCTCGAATATTGAGTTTACCATATAATTTAGTTTATTTACCACATAGAAAACAAAATAATTTAATTATCCCTAGTTGTAGTAATATGTCATAAGTGGAATTGGCTGATTATTCATATTTAATGTATGATACATTTAATTAGTATTCAATATTGTCAATGTTTTCTAGTTAATTGGTAACATTTTTTCAATTAATAGGAAATCAAGCATTGTTAATTTATTACACTGTTAACTAGGTCAGTATTTGCGCAATAATTTATGTCTATCCTAAAATATTTTAATACTACTACTAAACTTAAATTAAATGTAAGCGAAAATTTAATTGCATTAAATTTTTCAAATTTAATTAATCTCCCTTTTTTATTAGTAATATAAATAAATAATTTTTCATTTTAATATTTTTCACAATATATTTGACCTTTGTATGAAAACTCACAAATCACTCTCAATTATAATAATATAATAATATTATAATGTATTTTATGTTATTTACTGTTAATGAATAAAATCAATTGATGTTTGATATAAAATATTTGCGTTCAATGAATGTCACCCACGTATGTCGAGTACAAACTGTTTTGTGAATTATATTTCCAGTTATTTGGTTTGTTATATATCAAATGTGTATCATATACAATACAATTAGTGTTATATTTAGTTCATTGGTCTCATATTTTGCGACAATAATAATTAATACAAATGTTTATAATATTATACTAGAAAGTAGATTGACTTTTTGATACAAGATTTTAGTGATTTAAGACTATTTATTTCTCATACAATATACTACGATACAAATTCATAATGTTTTCAATGTTATACCCGACACTTTGGATAACTTTATTTTCATCAATTGTTATGTAAGTATGAAATAAGAATTTCTAAACTTTATTAATTTTGCTTGAACAATTTATATTTTTAAAAACACATTTTATACACAATATGCTTAATATCTAATTAAGTAATTAAACATATTTGTAAGTAACAAGTATGTATAGTACAGAGTATACCCTAGTTATTATCATAACTAAATTCACTAATTCATAAATTTATTAAGTTACAAAATCATTTTTCTAAATATAGCTAATTTAAATAATATTCTAATATTCACTACAAATAGTTATTTGAGATACCGATTCACATACTGGCGCCGACATGGGGTCCGGGGTCCCAATCGGGTGGAGTTCGAGGGACTACTCATGCAATACAACAAGTATTCAATGAATTCCTACCGAAAATACGGCCGAATATACGGAAGTTATCTGTTTTGCAACAAATGGCTTATGATTAACGACGCCAAACTCATCCGGGATATTATGGTCAAAGACTTTCACATTTTCCCCAACAGATACGACATGAATCTGGGGGTCAGTCCGCTCCAGAAAATGCTGTTTTTCATGAAAGGGGACGACCACTGGAAACGGATCCGCGCGATAGTCAGCCCCGCCTTTACGACCGGAAAGTTACGCTCAATGATGGACAGCATATCAGGGATTGCCGACCGGTTTGTCACTAATTTGGATACTTTCGCGCGAAACGGTTTGTCATTTAATTTTTGCATTTAGAGTCTATGAGTATATTATTCAACACTACTGTCCATTTTAGGCCAAACCGTTGATATACGTGAATACATGGGTGCGTTCGCCATGGATGTGATCAGCGCCTGTGCCTATGGTGTGAACGTGGAGTCCATTAATAATCCCAATCATCCCATTGTAGTGAACGCTAGAAAGATGCTGTCCGTCGACTCCAGTGTCAGTAACATACTGTCAATACTGGTGCCGCCAATAGCTAGGCTTTTTAGGTTGGACCCGATGGACAGGGAGGCTATAAACTATTTTGATAAACTCACCAATGATATAGTCGCTGAGCGAAAACATGCTATCAAAACGTGCACAAAAAGTATTGAAAAAAAATAATATTAATATTTTTTATTAATTTTAGTTTTCAATTCATAGCTAAGAAAATAACGGATTTTATTCAACTGATGATCGATAATGAGAAAAGTGTCACCAATTTAGACATCAATTCAAACCCAAGTACTGACCACAAGACAGTCGCTGACCACATGTTGACATCGGATGAGTTGACGGCTCAGGGAATACTGTTTTTCATCGCTGGTTACGACACGACCAGTGCCTCCCTTTCCCACGCGATCTACTATTTGTCGCAATACAGGGATTGTCAGCAAAAACTATACGAAGAGTTGCGATCTACTATTTGTCGCAATACAGGGATTGTCAGCAAAAACTATACTCAGAGTTGGCGGCAATGGACGAAGACTTCACGTATGAGAACCTAAATGGACTCAAATATCTCAATGCAGTCATCAATGAGACCCTACGGATGGCCCCACCTCTCAGCTCAATACAAAGAGAGTGCATACAAGACTACAAACTGGGAGATACAGGTGCTAATTAACTAGGCATAGTGCTAATAATCTAATTATAATACTGTTTATAACACTATATATAATCCTTAATGTTATGGCTTCCCTTGACATTATCTTTATGTCGGGATACAATATGTGTCTCTGGGCCTCATAAAAGGGCTAGGGCTCCACAAGTCCGGGCTCTCCAAGTAACTGTGTTGACATGAGCCCTTTGGGTTCATACCGTTTGGTGGTGGGCCCCGACAGTGCGTCGGTATGCGGTTTGCCTTAAATGAGATGCGATTATGTATCGCAAAGACTGTACATAAATATGAGTTCACATTAGCGCCGGGATTTCAGGTGTGAATCATATGAAATAAATACAATTAAATTGTTAATTAATTTAATTATTTGTATTTTACTCGTAATAACAGATCGATTACTTTACGGGAAATATATTTCATTCACCTTTAGCGCCGGGATTTCAGGTGTGAATCATATGAAATAAATTCAATTAAATTGTTAATTAATTTAATTATTTGTATTTTACTCATAATAACAGATCGATTACTTTACGGGAAATATATTTCATTCACCGAAACAAGTATTGGTTAATATCAAGCGCCGGTAGTGTATCATATAAATTATATAATGCAATGTATGTACTGTAGTAATAACGCAAATAAAATGAATTTTATAAACATTTAAATGTTTTGTATTTTTATTTTATTAAAACTTTAGCGTTGCATCAAAATTGATATTTTTTAATTACATTATAAAACTAATTATAACAAAAACATTTATTAACACAAAAAAACAATTATATATAAAAAATTATTTCTAAATTCTTCTAATATAATAAAATATAATTAATAAATTAATTAACTTTAACCTTGCGCAAATACCTAAACGAGAACACGTATGGCCCGATGGACAGTATGAGTACCCATTCCGCGAAACTCGATATGATGTGCGGTATAAACCCGGGCTGACTGTAGTTCCACATCAGCCGTAGGTTTAAGCCGTGAAAGGCGTCGGGAGATAACCAGAACGAGTAGATGGCAAACGTGATACACCCTACAAATGCTATGAGTGTCGAGTAGGCGAGGTACTCTTGAAAACACCCGGTGCCCTTGCTATTCATAAGATAGGCTATGCGACTCTGGACATACATGTCTAGTATCAGGGACACGAATAGTCCTATAGCCCCCGCAAAGTGTAGGTTACCATGCTCGGTTGGCTTAAAGTTGCCGATCATGAATGACGTGGTTATGATTAATAAGCCAGTCACCATGGAGAATTGGTTGAACCCGGTGAGAAATAGGTTGGTTATATTGTCTGTAGTTGTTTTAGTGTAGGCATCAATGGCCTGAGCCCTCCGTAGGATTACTACCGACGCTATAATAGCGCCCATATTTAGGTAGTAACTGAATATGGAGTCCTCTGGTGCTAGTATACCTAGGTCACTCACGTACGGTAGCAAGGGGTTTATGTGACCGTGGCATACAGATATAAATAGTCTGTGAATTACATAATATTTTACTATTAAAATGTGTATTATTTTTAAGACTAGTTTTATATATAAAATTATGATTTAATTACTACTTACAAAATGAATGGGAAAAAGTTGTGTATCAAAAATAGTGTGGGGAACACGCTTAATAACACGGTCATTTTATTAATTTACAATAAAATGTTGTGAAAACTAGTTATAAAAATTTTTATTTTAATAAACCATTTTTCAAAAGTCTTAAACATATGGACTCGTGACATATGAACTACAGTACCGTACATTGCATTGAATACGAGCATTAATAATAACGCAAGTGTGCACCTATATGCCCATAATTATTCTTAGTGTACTGTATACCTGAATAGCAATAATCATTATTGAGAATAAAATAAGCATTACTTCATATAAAATAGTATTTGTTTAAGTTACCTAAAATTCAATAATGAACTTCATTATATAATATAAAATATTTTATTGTTAGCTTTCCTAGAGCGACATAATCAATAAAAAGACAATTACTATTATTTTCAGCAAAAATAATTTTATTCATATTTAAGACATTTTTATTTTAAAACTTTTTATTGTCTCATAATGTATAAGACTTTAATTTACTTTAGTTTTACATGTATTGCCTAATAAATACACGTATGGACCAAATGTCATGATAAGCACCCATTCAAATACACTGGATATTAGGTGAGGTATAAATCCCGGCTGACCAGGGTGCAACACAAGCCTTATATCGCTATAAAATATAGCTTCGGGATATAAAATAGCTGTTCCGGATCCAAATAAAAAGCAACTAGCGTATGATACAGCGGATATATAAAACATATACTTTTGAAATCTACCGGTGCTTTCTTGGTTCAGTAAATACGAGATCCGACTTTGTAGGTACATATCCACTGTAAATGATACAAACCATATGAATGCCCCAAAACAGTGTAATAATAATATTGTATCAATGGCCGGGATATAGCCAGTCATGAGTCCACCCAATACTACTAGCAAACCACTAATTAATAGTCGGCCATTGAGTTCCCTAATTAATAGGCTGTCTGTATGGTTGTATGACTTAATAGATTGCCATCTAATCAATAGTATCGCCAAAAATATCATTGAATTTATGGTGAAGTATAGAGTGAATAGTGTGTCCCCTGGAGGTGATATACCGGTGTCGCTGACATATGGCAACCAGGGATGTATCTGTAACTTGTTTATACCAATTATCCGGCTATAAAAGTAATTATTAATTTCCAGTTGAACATATAAAATAAATATTTTATTTACAACTTACAGTATAAATGGTGAGCAAGTATTGATAATCAAATAGATACCGGGCAAAATACTCAATAAATAACTCATAATTATTAAATATTGTAAATATAATTGTGTTTTAAATATGATTAAAATTTTGTTATTTACTTCTAATACGTCTGAAACATATGGACTGTCACCGAGTAAATGAAATTAAAAATAAAAATTAATGAAGTTTTAGGTGAAAATTAATAAATGAAATATTTATTATGATTATGATGTAAAAATAAAATTGCTTGCTTCCAAGTAAATTTTATCATATGATAATATTTTCCTTATAATAAATAAAATTAAAATATTAATAGAAAATAGCTTTTAATTAATGTAATTAATTTATTTAATGATATAAAACTACATTCCCATTTATTATAAAAGTTAAAAAATAAATATTATTTTAAACGTATTAGGGTAAATGTGTATGAGGGTAGAGTTTTTTAAAATAAAGTATTTAATTAATTTATATTGCATAAAATTATTAATTACATAATCGATTTAGTAAATTTATTTTAAAATATTTTATTTTTATTAGATATTAATTATTTAATTAATTTACTTTTA